GCAAAGCTGCAGATCAGAGGACCACATCAGTCCAGTTCTCAGGTCTCTGTTCCTTAAGTTTCTTCTTGGTCTAAAGTCCATCCCTGGACCAGCTGGACTCTGAGAACCAGGTTTTGGTCTCCTGCTGGGGCCCAGAACCGAACCAGAACCAGAACAAGGAGAGGCTTCATATCATTTTAGCTCCTAAAACCTGGAACTTTGTCTTTTAGAGGCGAAACAGACCTGAACTCTGGATGTTTAAAATCCAGCTGAAAACATCTGTTTAACTGGATGGTTTTGATCTGCTCTGATCCCTGTTTATCTGTTTAACTCATTGACTGGCAGCCATTTTCAGAACAGAGAGTCCCATACTGCCAGAGTTTTTTGGCCTTTTGACTGATTTTTCAAGAGCCACAGAATAGTTTGTGCTATGACTATGTAAACACCGAACACACCAAAAGAAAGAGTAGACTCTCTTCTTTCATCAGGAAAAACAAATTTGTTTCTACCTTATTCCGTTCTTCCTGGACTTGCGTCTCACCGGCGCCATTTCTCGAATAGCGAACCATTGCGTTTTTTTTTATTTGCCTACAGTCTATTTCTAATCTCCCATCAAAAGTGGCACTGCCCCCTAGAGGGTCAATTTGTTACTACATACTCTGTCTAGAAGCCGATATTTACGGAAAAACTTTAGCAGATCGTCCCCCAGCCACTCTGGTTGAAAAACATAAAAGACGTCTATAGACGTCTTTGGCAGCGAATTAGTTAATCTGTGAGTTTTACAGCTGAAGCTGCCCTTTCTGTGTCTGTCTGCCTAACCCTAACCCAGTCCAGCTGCGAGTGCATGGCCGGTATGGTGCCCCTGGCGCCCTCGGGGGACCCGGACTTAGGCTGCCGGCTGGTCTCGGCCTGCTCACCGGACACCTGCCACCACACGGCTGTGTGTGAGACCCTACTGAGCGGGGAGGCCAGGTCAGTAAACTGAACCTCTGGGAGAAATCTGATGCTGAAGTTCATCTGGGTTAGGGTTGGGGTTGGGTTAGGGGTTAGGGTTAGGGTAAGGTTAGGTTGGGGTTTGGATTGGGTTAGGGTTGGTTTAGGGCTGGGATTGGGGTTACGTTTTGGTTAGGATTAAGGTTAGAGTTGGGTTAGGGTTGGGGTTAGGGGTTAGGGTTAGGGTTGGGATTGGGGTTAGGTTATGGTTAGGATTAAGGTTAGAGATGGGTTTGGGTTTGGGTTAGGGTTTGGGTTGGGTTGGGGTTAGGGTTGGGATTGGGGTTACGTTATGGTTAGGATTAAGGTTAGAGTTGGGTTTGGGTTAGGGTTTGGTTAGGGTTGGGGTTAGGGTTAGGGTTGGGATTAAGGTTAGCGATGGGTTTGGGTTAGGGTTGGGTTAGGGTTAGGGTTAAGGTTGGGATTGGGGTTATGTTATGGTTAGGATTAAGGTTAGAATTGGGTTTGGGTTAAGGTTGGGTTAGGATTGGGGTTGGGTTAGGGTTAAGGTTAAAGTTGGG